TGAGGACGTACTCATTTTCACTGAAGTGGATCGGGGCGTGTCAGCGGCACGTGAGTTTGGAGCGCCGCGAGCCCGTTCTCCATCGATTGGTACGGCATGGGGCGCTCCATAAGTGTGGAAAAGGGGCAGCGCGACACCAAAACGGACGCGCTGGCAGGCCCCGACTGACTTCAGTGACAATGACTGTACTATCAATTGGTGGTCCCTCATATACCTTAATAACCTCAAGCACCACCTCTCCCTCGTCACCGTAAATTTTGAATGCAGGCTAAATGTGGAAATCAATATAACGACCAACTCACCGAACAATCCTCTGGTGTAGATCGTTTCCGTTCACCACCATCACGGAAACCCTTTGCGAACGGGTTGTGCTCAATTTTCAGCTGTGTGATCGTGCTGTTCTGGTAAGCCGTTACGGCGATGAATTCGGTCTCAGGAATTCGTATCCGGGCAACCTGAAGTTGAACCGTCTGATGCACTACGAAAAAAACATAAAAGTATGAAACTCTTATGGTATCAGGCCATCCTTACAGTCTTGTTCGCTGCGGATGCTGGGGCGTGTCGGGGGACTGGGCTTGGCATGGCGTCAAGTTTTCCACCAGCTGTTTTCCATCGAAGCGAGCAAGCGACAACAGTTGATGTAAAACGAGCTTGCCCGCGCCAAATTCAGCCCCGCGACACGCCTCAGCATCCGCAGCAAGCACGACTGTAATAGCTGTTACCAAGAGTAACTCTCGTTGGACAACATCATCCTCAGAGAATGCTCCACGGTGGGGTGTCATTTTGGACGCTTGGAAAGGGAGGAGTTGCACCGTGCTAGATGATACCCATTGTTGTGGAAAAGATATAATGTAGTTCGCTGCGGACGGTTGGGCGTGTCAGTGCGGCTGCGTTTGGCGCGGTGCCAAACTCGTTCTCCACCAGTTGTTGAAGCGGGCAAGTGACAATACTGTATCATATCGTTCGTATTACTCGTTTTACCACTTTTTGTCGCATGCGCGTTTCAACAAGAAGGCAGAGAACGGCCTTGACGCTGTGCACACTCATACTGGCTGACACGCCCAACCGTCCGCAGCGAACTAGAGTGTATGCTCATCTTCGATCATCGGCCCTTCTTCTTTAAACAGGAGGTAATGGGCCGGCTATATACAATTTGGAAAAAAAGGAGCATGGTAAATTCAAAGAGAAGAGTCTCAGGGTTTGCTCTAAACCTTAAGTGCCGCCTATAGCCAATAGGTCACATCCTTAGGTTTCTCTTATTGCTGTTATAGTACGAGCATCAGGAAGCAAACTCCAGCCATTCCACCAAAGTGAAGCAGTTCCTACAATCAAAAATTCACAATTTTGAGGGTGCCAGGAGGTCCGTATTGTCACGAAGGTGGGCCAGGCGCGCGCATTCATCCTAAATGTGGTGGTGCTGCGCGTGTGACGTCACTGGCAGCGTCAAGTCACCGCAATCCGAATGTCCTGTCCTCCTCTTCCCTCCCCCAGTAATGAGCTCACATGAGTGACAGAAGGAGTACTTTGGCATGATGGGGGCACCTGATAGAACTCAGAGAAGTGGGTGCAGACCACCTGTAAGGTCCTGTAAGATCCTGTAACAAATTGACTCGTTCCTACCATTTTTACATCTCCACAGGAGATTACAAGTATCGTCAAAGTGGAACCTATTGGTTGACGTGAACTAGCAAAACAAACTAGCTCATGTGCGAAATGTAACCCCTGAGCCGAACAGCGTCCGATAGAGTTTTAATCGCTTACGAGATCACAGTTTTTTTTTCTGGGATCAGGAAGGATTGTTCTCCTCCCCCCCCCCCCCCCCCCCCTGCCCCCTTCTCCCTTATCCTCACTTCGAGTCAGACTAAGACTAGGGTTCGCCTACTTCTCACACGATGCTACTAGAACCTATTAACTTAATCTTTTTTTCTACTTCGTACATTTTTTTAACTTTCAAATTACTGTACCTGCTTGGGTGGATGGCTAGTCGATGCTGACAGAAAAGGCGTTTCACTGTGTGCAATTTCGAAGATGCTCAATACCGGTATGTACTTGTGCATTGATTGAAGGAAGATCTGAAAAGCGATCAATAATTGATTATCGACCTTGACGTAGTTCATAAAGACCAGCTCGCTACGGTAAACATTATCGTCGACGTTATAGCCATTTCGGCAGTTTATGAGCGCCGCGTGACCATTTCCTAACGGCAACACAACCGGTTGAGATTTATTACGAGCTCGGGATTACGGTATCGGAACTATCTATTCGGAACCAGTGCTTCACTGCCTTGTTCAAGCATTTCTCAACCCAGCGGTGGAAGTAGGTGGGGGAGGGAGTAGTTCAGGGAATTCACTAGTTCATTCGTCACCTTGTTTCTGACGCTTAAAGCCATCTTCATTACGAATTGATATTCCTCTAAATCATTAATTATTGCTAGTTCAACTCTTCTCTACCTTTAGGTTTTTATCAATTTTACAGGCACGGTTTAATGGAACAAAGGTGTCTACCTCGCTAAAGCTCCACCCATCACAAAAACCACGCCCCCTCCCACGGCAGACGGCCATAAAGTAGCAAGGGATCATAAACTGTCATGTTTGGATGAGACTGCAACTCCAAGAACTCCAAGGCTGAATGTAGTATAATATAGCATGGTTATGTCAGCGCATTTGTAGGGATAACCGAGAAACGTCCTACGAATGGGGGAAACTCCTGCGAAATACATTCCCCCTTTCCCCATACTGCCTACCATCTTCAAATTACTCTCCCCATTTTCCCACCATCTTCCTCTGGAAAAATTCTCCAACTTCCTCCCCAAAAAGCCGCCGTGGAGCAGCGGAGGGGGGGGGTTCGGAGAAGGGTGGGGAGTATGTAGCGCATTTCAAAGAGAAAAGTCAGCAACTGAAACTCTCCTCGGAAACAAATACGGCCCATCCTCCTTCAGCAACCGAATATGCCCCCGCCCCTTTCCCAACGTGCCTTGTCTTGGCGACACCTGCTGGCGGAAACTCTCATAGTAGCCCGGGCTCTTCACTCAAGGTACAGCAGTTCCAAAAATCAGTCATTCACGGGTAATTGATTTTGTTCAACAGAGGCGCTTGCATAGTAGTTCAGTTGTGGCGCTATTACCGTATCCATAGGGGCAGCTACAACGACGCATAAGTGCTCGTCCGTGAACGAATCACGACCTCGCGTGCGTGCCTATCGTCGTCGTCGATCTGTTGTCAGTCAATTGCGTGGCTTTTGTTAGGCGATGGATGCGCTATGCTATCTATTGGCCACGATCACCGCCAATGTCCCGTCGTACCGTAATCGATGTGAAGACGTCAGTAGATAAGCAGAAGTTTGTCAGATCGCGCAATTGACACATCTTCTAATCGATTAGAGTCGTCGTGCGCAAGGTGGATCGTCATGGCTATCGTGAATGCATGGATTGGCATCGTGCTGAAGAACTGAGCCATGCTCATTCCGAATTCGTCTGCGCCACGCATCGCTCATTGCGTTCGTAGAGCCCTATTACGCTTGCGGCAGGAAATTAGCCGGTGATAAGCCGGAAACAGGCTGTCTCAACCATATCTGAACGACTTTCTTAGTGGCTCATGCAACCTCGGCTATCACGGTTTTTCATAGTTGCATGGCTATATTGAGGATCGCCCTTCTTCCGAAAGGGGATCGTTGAGGAGCTTCAGCGCCTTCAGAACTTGCCGATGTAAGGGGAAAGCGGAAAACCGCCCCACCGGCTAAAGTGAATTAATCTGTCTATGCTTCCGATGTACACGTCAGCAGCAATGGAAGCGAACTTACTCCAAAAGTAGTGCCCAAAAAAACATCACGAGCGAGGTTGGCGAACGCTTCCGGTTCATTGATTTCTGCGAACTTCCCTTCACGATCCTGCATTCCTCCTCCCAAACGTGCTCGAACCGCCTAACTGCCTAATTCCTTCGCGAATTAGTCATTCCCGCAACCCGCGCATCTCACTCACCAGCAATCCACATTCCGGCACAATAGGACAAACCGGACTTATTGGTGTGGCTATGATCTCGTGGCCGTACCTGACCAATGACCGAGCGAAGTATTTCGCCACTGCGCTCATACTCGCGCAGATAGCCAGCGGCTATTCCTGCATGCTTCATGTACGCATATGGCCTTTCTAAGCCTATTCTTGTGATCTGATTAGGCCGCTGTCGCTCTTTGGCCGACCTAATGCAGAGGACTGAAGCAGGTTCGCTATGCATGTACAGTACGCATACTTGGGTAGGATGGATAGGACCGCCATCAAGCGATGTTCGAACAGACAACGACATGGTTGAGACTTACTCAACGGGGAGGATCGTGTTCGAGTCGCGTCGCTGGAAGGTGAGGGAGGGGATGGGAGAGGGGTAGCATTTGGCAAGATGAGAAGAGTTTGCAGTAGATGATGAGGAAATTTCGGGCAACCTCCATCTCCCCTCATGTTCCTAAACTTCCCTCCTTTTCACTCCCCCAGTGAGATGGAGCAAACAGTGGTAAGAGGTACGGGAAACTTTTGCGCTGAAGTTGGTCGTACTATATTTTTCCTATTATTATGATGAGATTCTCCTGGTGATGACTATGTAAGAAGAGTAGCGGGTCCTGGGTTCAAAAGCAGAACTGGGCTAGGTACAGTGGTGGTGATTCAGCTATGGTTGTTCCTTAGGGCAAGTACGGTGGAGTGTCCCCGCCGGGGAGGGTCGTATTTGGTCGCTGTAGGAAGGAGACGGGTTTTTAACCTGAGAGAATATACCTGATAGTCGATTTTTTCTTTTTCACGCGAACTTCCCATACTAATGAGAGGCTCCCCATCAGAGGAATGGGGTCATATCTCGGAAAATTTATTTCGTGCGCCGGAAAGACTTCCTGGTGACTCACCACCAGCTGGCGGCTCAGCAAAAGTTCTCAAGTCCACTGCAGCTACATAGAACTACTATTTCTGACATTAGTCGCTGTTCGGTGGCAACTCTTCACCCTCCCCCCCCCCACAGCCGTTCGACGGCAGAGAAAAACGGAGAAAATCTCGGATAGAAGGACGCAGGGAAGATGGGAAAAGTCAGTGAGCCGGTAGATAGGATGGAAGGGGTGGTCGTATTTTGCAAAAATTTCCCCCAGCGGCATAACGCGTCCTGCTTATTGGTCACCATCTCTGAAAACGATGTGGGATGA